CTTCATCTGCTCAAACCAAGTACTGAATACATATGCATGCTTATACTTTTCAGAGGTCCAATATTGTTCTATGTACAATCTTTGTTTTATTTATTGCATGTAATATTCTAATTTTCTGAGATTATGGATTCTAATTAAATAAAACAGAATTAAAACATTAAATATAAAAACAATTGAACAGTGCAACTTAGCTGAGCAGATGAAGTAGCTTGAAGAATTACTACCTTGCGTTCCCATCAAAAAAAATACATATATATATAAAGCTTGACGCTCACCAGGCAGAATATCAAAAGCCTCAAGAGACTTTTAAAGAGGAATATAGCTTTTCAAATTGCCTAGGTGCATGACATAGGTTATAATGTCTTATGTCCCCCACCATAGATAATTGGCAGTGGAGTTATTTTAACAAGAGATTTTACATATTCCCTGCAGTCATTCCCAGTCAGTAGTTTAACAGCAGTATTCTGAGCTCATTGAAATTTCTGAATCCTATTCAAAATCAGTTCCTCCCTACAAAGGAGGTCATAGTAATCCAGAGGGATGTAGTTAAGGCAAAGCCAGATTGGAACTACTGTACAGTATTATTTCCAGAAAGAGGTATAGCTAGTGCACCAGCTTTAGATGAGACTTCTGCCTACTCGCAAACTAGGAATAGAGTTCAAGATTAATCTTCTTACTGGACCAGGGGTGGTATGCACTTACCTTCCCTACTGGTTCACAAATGTGAGCACATAGACCCTTCCACGCATGCGCTTTTGACGAAAAAAATGGAACGCCATAGAGCCAGGGGTGGGTGGGTGGAGCCATCTGCAATTTTTGCTACTGGTTAGGGTGATTCAGTCCAAATTGGTAGAATATCACCTCTGTACTGGACCATGGTGTCTTAATTGTTGATGGTTTAAGATTTATTAATATTGCATTCACTTTATAGGTTTTAGAGAAGTTTTGTTATGCATTATTATATTTTTGTTTGTTATTACTTATTTATTTAACTGCACTATTAGGCTTTTTGTTATAAGAAAAATAAAACCTGGAAGTAGATAAATGTAGAACTACATCCAAACTATGAACTTGAGTTTTCAAAAGGAGTGCGATGCTACAGTAGTGGTTTCCGGATCCTGTTGTAACTGGTACAGTGGAATGGGGCCCGGGGCCCACTACATGAATGCGCACTGCAAGTGTGCACATGCATGCAGAATGCACATGCGTACTTATGACCTGCGACACTCCGCGATGCCTCTGCGATGCTCCAGCTGCTCGGCGGAGCATCATGCAGGTGCCATATGCTCCATGTGCATACATGGAAGCGCCAAAGCTCAAATACCGGTAAGGAGGGTGGGTGGGCAGGTGGGCCCTTTGGAGCACCGTACCGGGGCGTACTGGTCGTAACCCACCACTGGGATGCTATCACAAGCAGTGTTCCCATTCTCATCTGCCTTTCAACGTAGGGTGATCACTGATTTCTCTAGCTGGAGTTTTAAGCTAATTTTCTCTTAGAAATCTCATCACCAGGCATCACCTATTGATTTGGAACATACACAATTTTCTTGTGTGCAAAATACAAAAATAAATGCAAACATTCACAACATTATGACAAGCAAAGAAGTGAGCAAGATCCAAATTCACCTAGCTGCGCTGTAGGTAGCCTTTTAAAATATCACATCTCCTTGAAAATTAGATTGCTAAACCAAGGGAGAATATGGCATGGAAGTAATGACCACATATAAACCATACAACTAGAACAATAAATTGTTATGAAACAAAATTGATCCATAAATTCAAAAATCAACTGTAGAAGATGAAGCAGTTCATTTTTTCTCTCTCTTTCTTTCCCTCTCTTGAAAGTTTTTTCAACAATGAACTGCAATACCAGAAAAAAATAATGTTATTTATTTATAAAATTTATAGGCTGCCCATCTTACCACAAGGTAACTCCAGAAAAATAACAGAAAAATATATATATTCTCAGCCTTTTTGTTTATATAGACACATGTGACTTATCTGTCTGTTCCTGGATTGTTTTAAGTGTAGCTATAAACAATATACAATAGTTTATAGTTAATGATACCTTCATATTTGCCGTACTGCTGTACTGTAAAAAGTAAAAACATTGTATAATCTGGAGATGAGTAACTGAAGTCTAGAGAGACAGTACATAGTCACCCACTAAAAACATTTTAATATCGGAATGTGTGTGTGTGTGTGTGTGTGTATGTGTGTGTGTGTGTGTGTGTGTGTGTATTCCTTCCTAACCTTATTGAGAAAATTGCAAATAGCAAAGTGTTCTAGTCACAGGGGATAGCAATGTTCTTTTAACAGTTATATTGTGCATTTCCTAAAACAGAATACTAAATTAAAAGCACAACGTTAGGCACATCTGTTTAGAATTAGAGTTAGTTTGGTTAAGGCACCAGGCTCTAAACCAGGAGCCTGAGAGTTTCAGTCTTGCCCTAGTCATGAAGCTAGCTGGATGACTTTGGGCCAGTCATTCTTTCTCACTCCTAGGAAGGAATCAATGGTAAGCCACTTCTGAAACCTTGCTAAGAAGACTGCAGGGATTATTCTAGGCCAGGGGTGTCAAACTTGACTTCATTGAGGGCTGCATCAGGGTTGTGTTTGACCTTGGCGGTCCGTGGGAGCGTGAGACATGGCTGGGGGTAATGGCATAACCGGGGAAGGCATCACCATGGAACTCATGTTGGAGGCACATGTGGTGGCCAAGTGCTAAGGGAGGACCTCCCTGAGACCCTCCCTCAACGTTATAATCTTCCTTCCTTCCTTCTTTTTCCTTCCTTCTCCCTTCTCCTTCCTTCCTC